GGGTGCACATGTGCAGTGTGTGTAGATATAGGGTGCACATGTGTGGTACGTGTATGTAGGGTGCACATGTGCGGTGTGTGTATGTAGGGCGCACATGTGTGGAGGTAGAGGACAGGCCCTGCTGTTGGGCCTTGCCTTCCACCTTGTGTGAGAGGGGTCTCTCTAGCTGTTCACTGCTGTGTGTGCCGGGCTAGCTGGCAAGAAAGCTTCCAGAAGATTCTCCTGCCTGCCTCACGTCTTCTTGTCAGGATGTGCTGAGATTAGTCTGACATTTTACATGGGTTCTGGGGATCTGCACTCGGGTTGCTGGGCTTGTGTGGCATCCCAAGCATGCCTCTAACTCCAGCTCCGAGGGATCTGATGCCCTCTTCTGGCCTTCATGTATGCATGAATGTGCATCCATATTCATCATACACACACAAATACACAGAATTTTTAAAAAATCTTCAAATGTAAGGGGAAAAATAAAAAAGTAGAAATATTCAAATGTCCATCAATTGCAAAATGTAAAAACTGCAGCACATCAGTACTGCTGAGTACTCAGGAATGACGCACCCACACAGCTACCACAGGGTGAACCTCAGAAACCTGACACTAGTAAAAGCCACACAGCGCAGGATTCCAGACACCAAATGTCCAGCACAGATCAAGAGAGGCAAAAAGTGGAGCATCTACGGGGGAGGGGGGAACGACATGGAGAATGACTGTTTCTTCTGACTTGATAAGAACATCTCACAGCAGGGTGGTGAGGATTGTGCGGTACTGTCAATGTCCCAAATGCCAAAGACTGGCAAGGAAAGCCAATGGAGATTAGAAGTCTAATCCAGAGAGGCTTACAGTGACTGACTGGCCCCTTCCTCTGGGCTTTGGTAGGTGGTGTGCCCTGGCTGCGCTTTCTGTCAGCCTCCCCTTCAGCACCCTGCACTGGCCTCTGATTGCATGGGAAGGTTGCTCTCTGGGTCCATCTTTCTCACAAGGTTGGAGCTTGTGAGAACTGGTACCAGCTCAACTTTGTCATCTCAAGACTGGCATGTGACAGGCACTCAGTAACGACAGGTACTCAGTAACGACAGGTACTCAGTAACGACAGGTACTCAGTAACGACAGGTACTCAGTAACGACAGGGACAAACCACGTATCTCCCAACACAGACACTTCCCAGCACCTGCTACCTCTCTTCCTGTGCTGCTGGGGTGGAGATTTAAACCTCTACCTTCATCCTTCAGCAGTGTGGGCTTTCTGGGAGTCTCTTGTTTGATATTGCTCTCACTCCCTGTGCGCTCTCTCAGCAGGTTACACCCTGCCATTCTGTGTTCATTCATTTCTTTTTTCCAATTTTTATATTATGTGATTGAGTGTTTTGCCTACATGTATATCTGTGCACCACTTGCATGCCTGGTACCCACAGAGGCCAAGAGGTTTCAGATCCCCCGAAACCGGAGTTACAGCCAGCTATAAGCTCTGAGTACTGGGACTCAAACCTGGGTCCTCTGGAAGAAGAGCAGGTGCTGTAATCACCGAGCTCTCTCTCCAGCCCCCTCTGACCCATCACAGGATCTGTCCCTCTGTCAGTCCCTCTATTACACCAGACACGTGCTCCTTGGCATGACCATCTGCCTCCCGCTGGAGCCAGAGAACACGTGTGCTGTGCTCACAGCTGTTCCCCGCCCTAAGGAACCACTTACAAATAGTAACCTACTCCAGATCCCCGGGCCAGGCGCTCTCCCTCCAGTGTTCAGGGGAAACAGAAAGGCACGGGACAGGGTGAGTGGGTGAAGGGTAGACTAGGAGAGGGAAGTTGGTGGGTGAGTCTGTGAGTGGAGGTCATGCAGAGCCCCGGGTGGGAAAAGAGGAGGCATGGATGAGTGCCCGGCCCTGGAGCCTAAGTTCTAAAGGAGGCAATAGACAGCGTGGAGTGAGCGAGAGAGCAGGCAAGCAAAGAGAGCAGGGCCAACTCCCAGACTCCCAAAAGGGCCCTTGAGACCGGGGCTGCTTTTCTGCTGGGGCTGGGCCTGGCCAAACATAACCTGGGCTCCCGAGAAGTCTGTGGATGCTCGGAGCCTGAACCCCTGAGCCTCCCATCTCCCTCCTGGAGTCAGACACCCTCCTGGGGGCTGGCAATGGGGTGGCTCCTAGAGTTTCCAAACTGAGGCTTGAAGACTACTTCCTTCTCCCAGAGCTAGGACCCAGATTCAAGGTCACAAAAAAGAGCCCGGTGTCTCCCTCGTGAAACCCTATGTCACAAGATCGGGAAGAACTTTCTGCAGTGTGAGAACTACCCACGTGGCAGATGTGAGACATGCCAAGTTAGCTGCTCTGGAGCCCTCAGCAGCTGAGAACCCTGCCTTGAACTCCAAGGCCCCAGTCCTCACCTTCCTGGCTCCTCTCCCCTAACATGCTCTGAAAGCACCAGTTCCAGATGCCTGGGGGTGGGGGGTGCTCACCTCTACAGAAATCTGGGAGCCCCAGGGCTACCTGGCCCAATGAGTGGCTATGAGTCAGGAGTAACTCCAACAGGATCCTGATTCTCAGATCCCACATCTGCTTGCTTCCCAGGCATCTGGCGTGTGTCCAGCCCTGTCCTCTCTAGCCCTGCCTCAGGCGCTCTCAGTTCCTGCTCTTGGTCAGTGGACCTTCCCGCCTTACCACAGTCGCCAGGCTGGGAATGTGTTTGACTGAATTCTCGACCTCCTCTTCGGTCACCTCGACCAGTGTGCAGTTCTCGTCCTCCGATGGCAATGGTTCGGCCCCGTGCCTCGTGACCCAAGGGTGCAGCTTCAACGAATGACAGGAGGGGTGAGGGACAGGCGCCGCTGGTTCCCACAAGGCCCTGCCAGTGAGCAGTGCCAAGGAGGGCATGCAGGAAGGAGAGGCTAGGGCCGGGGGGTCAGGCATGCGGCAGAGCCAGTGATCCCGGCAGGAAGGGCAGGCAAGAGAGAAGCGAGGAAAGGAGAAAGGGTGGAGACAGAGTGGGAGCGCTGCAGAGCTGTGGAGTGCAGGGGCGGGTCTCCGTCTGGTTCCTGGTCATGGCAGGAGCAACCAGAATCTGGCCAACTTTGCCCCGCTGTTCAGGGCAGTCACTGGTCCCCACCAACTCTTCCTGAACAAAGAGGCCGTGCTCTGGACAAGTGCATTTTCCCATCCACAGAAGAGGAAACAAGGAGCTATGGAGGGGCCTGGTGGAATGGCACACTCCAAAGAGCACCCAAGTCCTCTCTCTGGGGTCCAAGTCCTTATCTGTGACTTTTGAACACTCTTAAAGACACCCTTCCAGTTCAAGTGAGTCAGGCGTCTCAGAAACCCTGAACATATCTCGAAATGTCTGTTTTTCCTTTCCTTTTCTTTCCTTTCCTTCTTCCTTCCCTCCCTCCCTCCCTCCCTCCCTTCTTTCGACATGACCACATCTCAAGTTGGCCTGTACAGGATGACCTTAAACCTCTGATCCTGGCCCCCTCCCCCCACACACACACACACATGCTGTGGTTATAGGCATGCACTACCACGTTCAATTTATACAGTACTGGAAACGGAACCCTGGGGCTTCATGCATGCCAGTCAATCATTCTATCCACTGAGTGATATCCCCAGATCATGCTGAGATTTATTTTTTTAAGGGTCAGAAGTGTGTACTGGGCACTGACAGGAATGCGAAGTGGTGGACGAGGCCTCTGCTGAAAGCACTTTCTACCAGGGTCGGATTCAGCAGGCAGAGGTTGAACTGCCCACGAACTTCCTCCCACCCTCTCCGCAGTTTCTCGAAGGGACCGGCCCACATCTTTGACTGGGCCAAAGAAAGGACTTGAGGTTCAGCAGCCAGAACGTGGAGCACACAGAGGCCTTGGATCGCTCTCCAGGGTGGACACCATCAGCACAAGCCAATGGGAGCAAGCGCAGGCAGCCCCGCTGATGGTCACAGCTTCCACAGCTCACAACCATCAACACTCGCCCCTGCTCCCAGCAGCACCCAGCAGCCCAGAGGCTCCAGGACATGGGAAGGCAGAGATGCCAGGAGGGTGTGGTGCTGTGGACAGGGCTGAGCCAAACATTTCCAAGCACAGACCACAGGCCTCAAGTTCAAGCCTTCTTAGCCAGCAGCAGTTACATACCTTGATCTCGGGCACCACAATCCTAGACTCTGGGTTCTTGTCTAGCATTCGGGTGATCAGATCTTTCAAGTCTTCAGCTATATCAGGCCTAGGGGTGGTGACACATCACGGACAGGTCACAGACAACTCAGGACCCTGACCACTAAGGAATCAGAAGGAGGTGATGGACAGACAGGCTCTACTCACTGGTCTGGAAACTCCAGGGCCTGGCTCTTGATCTTACTGTGCAAACACATGATCCGCTCATCCATGAATGGGCACTGTGGAGAAGCCAGGGAGGATGGCGGTCAGCGGCTGCCGCCTGTACCCTTCAGAGGCTGTCTGTGCTGTGCCACTCCTCAGGGACCACGGCAGAGAAAAGAACAGCAGTGGCCCAGGCTAGAGAGGAAGCAGGAACCACTGCCCTTCACTCTGCCCCCAAATCTACGAAGGAACAGGAATGCCAAGCTTGTTTCCAGCCCTTCCCAACTGCACCACTGACCTGCTTTGTTTCCTACTGACACAAAAGCAAACACTCTTCTCCACTCTCCTACCCAGAGACCAGTAAGGAAGCTAAGACTAGAACAGGTGTACGGGTGTCTGGGTGTGCGTGAGTGGACGCGTGCGTGCATGAGGGAGAAAGAGAGAGAAAGATTGTGAGAGTTTAGTCTGGCTCAGGACCCGCGGTCACCCATCCATGGTGCCCTCTACCTGGAATGAGCTCCCCATCAACAACAGCATGGCTTGTTCTCCCCAGTCACACCTGACCAAAGCTACCTATGTGCGGCCTCCCCAGGCTTCCCTACAGCAGACCTACCTCATTCCTGCCAACCACCATACCTCAGCGGGGCACCTGACCCTAACCCAGTGGTAACTCCTTTCCACTGGGGCCTCAACACCAGCTCAGGGCTTCCTGGCGGGCTCTTTCTCAGAAAGTCCTTGGCACAGTAAGATCTGCTGAACTAATGAAAATTGAAACTGGTTCTATCTTCTCAGGGGTTGTAAAATGTAAGCATTGAACTGGAGGTGCAGCTCAGTGGTACAAATAGTGCTTAGCATTATAAACAAGGCTCTGGGTTTGATTGCTAGCTGGGGGGCAGGCATGTTGATAAATTGATAGAAGGATACTACTATAATACAATGGTAGATTCCAGGTGGCAGGGTTTGACTTTTCACTGTAGAATTCTCTCAACTTTATACTGAACTAAAATTGTTTGAAAGACCGAAGAAGTCAAAAGATTTTATATATATCAAAAGATTTTACATGTATATATATATATGCTTGTGTGTATGTGTACATGCAAGTAAGTATAGTATGTGCTGTTTGCATGGAGTGCCCTTGAAGACCAGTAGAGGGAGTGAGATTCCCTGGAGCTGGAATTTCAGCCCTTTGTGAGCAGTCAACTGGGTACCAGGAACAAATCCTGGGTTCTCTCTGCAAGAGCAGAGAGTGCACCTAACTGCTAGGACATCTCACTAGTTCAAAAAAAAAAAAAAAAATTTAATAAACACTCCAGGAAAATAGTTAAAAAACGAAACAAACAAACAACAAAAAAACTCCTTTGTTTCTACATAGAACAAGATTTTTTTTCCTTCCTTTTTTTGTTTTTTGAGACAGGGTTTCTCTGTGTAGCCCTGGCTGTCCTGGAACTCACTAAGTAGATCAGGCTGGCCTCGAACTCAGAGATTCACCTGCCTCTGTCTATGGCTGGTTTTGAAACAAGACTCCTAAACCTTCCTCCACAGCAACACAAGTTCAAATTGGGAAGGAGCCAGGTTTTTATTGCTCACAGACTTTACAGTTAAAAGAGGTGCCTTGCCAGGTATAGTGGTATACTCCTTTAATCCCAGCACTTGGAGGCAGAGGCAGGTGGATCTCTGTGAGTTCAAGGCCAGTCTAGTCTACAGAGGGAGTTCCAGGACAGTCAGAGCTACATAGAGAAACTCTGTCTGGGTGGGTGGGGGACACATAAGAAAAAAAGAGGTGCCTCTGAACATGAATAATGTTGGGACAGTAGAATAAAGAAACATAACAAGAAGTAAAAGTACTATTCCCTAAATCAATAATTATCTTTGAACTAATTCCCATTCCCATTCTACCCCCAGCAACAGTGGCTAGGATCACTCTGATGAAAAGAGCACAGTACTAAGGAAGCTTCAAGGAACACAATGATTGACTAGTGATGTCTGTCTCAGGCTCAGGAACGGAGAGAGGTGGAATATTTGCTCTCTGTGCCCTAAACTCATCAACTATCTAGAATCTACACACAGCCTCTGCTGATCTATTCCATTCAACCATTTTTATATAGATGAGACTATCGTCAGAGATGCGTATGTTACAAAGGATCCGTTTTAGCTATTCATTCAGTTGTGGAGATACAATCTGCACATAAGAACTGTCTCATCACCCACAGCAGTCATGTGACAGAACACGCCACCCTCTTACCTGGCCAAAGACAAAGCAGTACAGAGTCACACCCATGGCCCAAACATCCAAGGCCTGAAAGGAAACGAGAGATCAGTGTGATACTCAACACCTGCTTTTGCAGGTCCAATAATCAAGTCTCCAACCTCCTTGGGAACCACCTTTTCTTCCCTTGGTTTTTTTGTTTGTTTTTGTTTTTCAAGAGGGTTTCTCTGTACAACTACTCTGCTGTCCTAGAACTTGCTTAGTAGACTAGGCTGGCCTCAAACACACAGAGATTTACCTGCCTTTTTGCCTCTAGAGGGCTGGGAATAAAGGCTAAACTACCTTTTCTTAATCCAGACTCTTGGGGTAGAGCAAACTCTGAATCCTAGCCTTTTTAGTTGGGACATGCACTCTGGCATGACCATTGAAATCACAACGCCCCAGCCAAAGTGGTTGGTCACAGGTTCGTTGCAGTGGCTATTCCGAGAAGACAGTCTAGCTACTTAAGTTGACTACCTTATGGAAAGTAGCCTGCAGGTACTGGTGCCTGACCCACCCACAGGGAAACCAGCTCAGCAGAACAGAGACAAAGATGGGGAGATACTGACCTTGCTTGAGTTCCTCTAACTGGCTGATGACTCAACAGCTACACACCCAGTGGGCTTGCTTTCTGTACATCTCTTCTGTCAGATTTTTGCTACTTCGAACCAAAGAACCCTGAGACAGGCAGAACTCAGCAGAGCCAACCTTACCTTCCCAGAGAAGATCTTGCGGGTCTCTGAGAGCGACTCAGGTGCCATGAAGGCAGGTGTGCCCACGGTGTTGGAGAGCAAGGCATCACTGCCCTTGAACTCATTGCTCACACCGAAGTCGGCTATCTTGATGTGTCCGTCCTCTCCCACCAGGAGGTTGGAAGGTTTGATGTCCCGGTGGATGATTTTCTGGTAGTGTACTGGATGTAGAGGACAACAATGGAAGAGAGGGGGCAGGAAAACTCCATGAGAATCTCCACTTGGTCACTCTGATGCCTCATCTTCCAAGCCCCAGACCCCCTGCCCATACATGCTCAGAGACATACGGGGAAAGTGAATTTAAGGACGTTTACAGCATTTTCAAAACACCAACTGACTACGGCAATTTTTAACCACCTGTCATGGCCTATAAACAGTTTTTGCTGAGTCTGACTTTCAGACAGGCACACTGAGACTTGTGACAGTCAAACACAGCCTTTCATTTACCAATGGCTAATGCTCATCATGGTCAGCAAGTCAACTAAGCCAGAGCAGGCTCATCTGAAGTATGAACCACAAAGCAGAACTGGGGTCCTGGCTCCTCAGGGGATATAAGTATCACACAATCCTATAGTCTGGAAGTCGCAAGTGCCAATTCTGGGGTAATGATGAACTTGGTGGTGTAAAAAGAGTAATAGTTCAGGACTTCATTCTGTGTTAAATACTTCTCATTTATCCCGATTAACTGTCACGACCATTGCCCATGGCAGGCAGGGGTAAAAGGCACAATAGCCAACGGGAGCCCATCAGAACTACTGATAGCGACATGCTGATCCCAGCCCTGGCGAGATACTTTATTTCATGGATGAGGAAACCAGGGTGCCGGGAGGAAAGACGATCCCCACCCCAGGCTGCTGGACTAGGAAGATGATGCAAGCAGAGCCCTCGCTGTGCCCGGTCTGCACAGAGAGCGCTGGACTTTTAAAGCTCACTGAGAGGGCTCAGGCAGTAAAGTGCCACAGGCAAGAGGGTCTGAGTTTGGTCCCCAGTACCAATTAGGAAAAAAAAAAAAAGAGTTGAGCATGGTGGTGTGGGGAAGCAGAGATGAGGGCATCACCAGGCCTACTGGCCAGCCAGCCTGGCCTACTTGGTGAGGTCCAAGTCAACGAAAGACTGTCTACAAAATAATAAAATAATGAAATAAAAAAGTTTATATATATATATAAATTAATGTATATATACACATATTTTTGTCTTTCTGTCTCTGTAGTCTTTCGCAATTAATATATTAATAAAAAGGGCTGTTCTTAACATAAAAAAAAAATTAAGTTAAGACAAGGTGGAGAGCTCCAGAGGGAAGACACTGGCCTCCACATGCATGAGTACATATACGGCCATATCTACAAAATCTCACTATGCCACTGGTCTTCATTTTTCTCTGCAGCAGGGAAAAGGCTTCCATTGCCAAGGCTCAGTCTGCCATTCCCAGGACCGTGTGGAGACCCCTGCAGCTCACACACTCCTATGTTCCCAGCAGGAAAATGAAGTACTTTCCATTTTCCACCCACGAACTGAGTCACTAACCACCCAGAGAAGAGCAGTTCCCCACAGGCATGGCTTACAGTACTCAATGCCTTTGATCAGGTCCTGGAAGTAGAATCGGGCCTGGTCTTCAGATAGTGGCTTGAGAGTGGGCACTTCCATCACAGGCCTGCAAGATTGACACATGTGTAAACAGTGTGCACCAGATCCTGCTAGCCCTGGCCCACAGTCTCCCTCAGAGCCCGGCTCCCCTCACTCAGCTTGCAGGGGAAGCCTGGCATATCACCCGGAAGATGGATACTCACCCTTGGTTGACCAATTCAAACACTGTGGGAAGATAAGGAGGCAAAACTGTCACATTGAAACACTGAAAATCCACCTCACTCCTCCTCCATCCCACCTCTAGCCACCTCTAGACATTTCAAGCACAGAAGTGAAACCTGGAAGGGCTGAGTAGACACATATACAGTCTACTGAACCAAAGCTGCTCAGCGTTACTAGGACTGCAGGGAGACAAAGGACCTCCTGAGAGCCATAGGACCCTACACCTGAACTTGGAAAGCTGTATCTGGTGGTAAAGGCCTGTAATCCCAACTATACAGGAGGCTAAGGCAGGGGGAAATCACAAATTCAAAGCCAGTCTGGACTACAGAGCAAGTTCAAAACTAGCCTAGTCAACTCTGTGAGCTCCTGTTTCAAAAAGTAAAACAGGGGTGGGTGGGTGGGAGTCAGGGATATAGCTCAACGATATAGTACTTGCCTAGCATACACTAGGCCCTGGGTTTGAGCACCAGCAATGAAAGACCATACATGCATGTATTCATACACACACATAAACACAGAGCCAAGGGTGCGATGACTGTATATGCATGCACCCATGTGCACACACGTGCACACACACGGAGCCAAGGATGCAGGAAGGAAAATAAAACCAGGGGGAAAGAAACTAAGCCTGGATCCTAGGCTGTCTTCTCATCTTTCCACTTGTACCCAGGAGAGGACTGATGCTATGCTCTTATGGTGGGTTAGCTTCATCAACTTGACACAGCCTAGACTCACTTGGAAAGAACATCAGTGAGGGGCTGTCAATAGCCAGCAGACTTGTGGGCATGACTTCGGGAACACTGTGTTGGCTGCTTTAACTGATGTTGGAAGACTCAACCTAAACATACGCAGCACTGTTTGGTACCAGGACAGAGGAAGGAGTGCCTCACTTGTTTGCTGGCTTGTAGTCTCGATGCTGAGTTCATCTACCTGCTGCTGCCACTGCTGATTCCTATGCTGATATTAGAACCAGCTTGTTCAGGCTTCCAATACAGACTGAAGACCAGCTGACCTACAGGAACCCTCCAGATGGTCAGTGCCAGTCTGGTGCTGCTGAGGAATCCAGCCTCACGGGCCAAGCAACTACTCGCTCTCTCCAGTCTGAAAGTCACTGACAATGTTGATAAATCTACTGCTGATATATACCTCCACTCTATGGGCTCTGTTCCTTAGAGAAACCTGACTAATACAGTCTCCAGATACACCCAGGACCCTGGCAGATCTGCTCTTGCCTTGGGCTGTGGTTACAAGTGCTGGCCTTTCTTGCTTTGGTTATTTATGTCTTACCTTACAACTTCACAAACTCCTCTACCTTTTTTCTCCCATCCGAGCACAAACCACCAGCCACAGAGGAAGCTGCCCTATTGAAACAGGTCTCTATTTCGCACATTGACAGTTCAGCCACTCTTGGGGTTGAGCGGTGGGCAGAAACTTCTGTTGTTTTTTTTGTGATTAGCAACTGAACCCTGGCCACATACACACCACACAAGTGCTCTGAGCTGTAGCTTCTGCTAATTTTTATTATTTTTAATTACGGGTATGTGTGTGGGATCTGTGTACATGTGTGCAGGTGCCCTTGAAGGCCAGAGGCATCGTAGTTCCCTGGCTCTAGAGTTATAGGCACTGTGAACCACCCATCATGGGTGCTAAGAACCACTCAGATACTCTATAATAACAGTTCAAGCTTTTTTTCTGGGTTTCTCGATTTGTTTTATGATAGGGTCTTATTATATAGCCATAGCTGGCTTAGAACTCACTATGTTGACCAGGATGGCCTCAAACTCAGAAATGTGGCTGTCTCTGCCTCCCAAGTGTTGTCTGTGTATTTTGAAGGAAAATGGCCCCCACAGGTCCACAGGGAGTAACACTGTTAGGAGGTAGCTTTGTTGGAGGAAGTGTGTCACTAGGGGTGGGTTTTGAGGTGTAAGATGCTCAGGCCCAGTGTCTCCCTATCTTTCTGTTGCCTGCTGATCCAGATGTAGAACTCTCAGCTACCTCTCCAGCACCATGTCTGCCTTCCCACTGCCATGCTTCCCACCATGTGACAATGGACTTAACCTCTGAACTGTAAACCAGCCCCAATTAAACATTTCCCAATTAATTGTTGCCATGGTCATGGTATCTCTTCACAGCAACAGAACACTAAGACATCGTCTACAAGCGCGCCTGGCTGAGTTTATGTGTGCTGTGTGTAGGAGCCTGTGGAGGCCATAAGGCATCAGATCACCTGAGATTGGAGTTTATAAGCACTTGTGAGCCACCAGATGTGGGTGTTGAGAACCAAACTTGAGTCCTCTGACTGAAGTCATGTCTCTAGCACCTGTTTTCTTTTAACTTCTAGAAAGACAGATGTTTTCTATCCTTTGAGCCTCTGGTCTGCTATTAAAGATTCTACACTGCCCACCCTCTGTCCTTAGCACACATGGCTGTGGCTGGCAAGTGTATGGACTCCATCCTATTTTACCAACCCAGAACTCCGGTTTCTTCCTCCGTGAACGGCCTATTATTCTTATTTTCCTTTTGTGTAGTGCTGTTACCTTCACCACCTTTGCAGTACACTCAGGTGACTGCTCTGAGGATGTTTTGAGATGTTTCCTGAGAAACCTAGAAGGGACGTGGATACTGTAGCATTTCATAAATGAACCACCTGCTCCGGCACAGCCTTTTGGAACTCAGGGTGAGAAAATTACTGTAGGAGCACCATTCTAGGCTCCAATAAATTTTCCAGTTTTCTGATTAAATTTAGATTTCACTTGCTTGCTTGCCATGTATTCAATTTGGCTCTCTCTATAGATCACGTAAATTAGTGTTGATTTAATGGGGTTTTTTTTTTGAGATATTTTGGTTTTTGTTTTTTCAAGACAGGGTTTCTCTGTAGCTTTGGGACCTGTCTTGGAACTAGTTCTATAGACCAGACTGACCTCAAACACACAGAGATCCACCTGCCTCTGTCTCCCGAGTGCTGGGATTAAAGGCTTGACCACCACCGCCCGGCTTAGTTGACTCAAATTTATCATTTTTTTTCCTTCCTTTTTGAGACAAGGTCTCACTCACTACGTAGCCTCTGACAGCTGGCCTAGAAACCACAGGCAGGTCCTCCTGTCTCTGCCTCACGGATGTACCATCATTCCTGATGTCCTCAGCATTTGTAAATGACGTCTCTGAAGACATACCTGAGCTTTAGTCTGTGAGCAGGACCCAGATCTTTGATTGCCCCACCATGGCTTCCCAAACTCATCATTCTTACCCCTGACTCTTCTCCCTACTTATCAACACCCCCATTTTTAAATTCTTAAAGCCTTGGGGCCTTCCAACCTACTTTTCCCTCTTCCTCTATGCCCTGCCCCAATGTAACATGGCCAAATCCTTGACATTCAGGTATATCCTGTATGAAGGGCTTTGTCCACTTTCTCTGAATCACCCTAATTACTCTTATAATATAGAAAGTTCTAGTTTATTTGTCAACACTATCTTTCCTGTCTGGGATATCAGCGGTAAAGGTCTCTTTTTATCACACTATCCTCACACCTGGAATAGTTCTGCATATGCAGCAGGTGCTCACGAAAGAGCCGCAAATGAAGACCTAGGCGATCTAGACGTTAAATCCCAGCAAGAACTACCTCGCAGGTGTGCGCGCTCCTGTGGGGCCTAGCTGGACCAGGAAAGAGGAACCTGTCCTTGACTCCAGGGCTACAGCTATGTAGAGGGAACACCAGGGCCTTGGCAAATGCAGCTACCCCAGAGTGGATGGAGGAAAGCCCTTACCCATGTACAGATGGTCCTCGTTGGGGTCATCCAGGACCTGATGGCACAGCCGCCCAATGTCAGGAGCAAGGAGAAAAAGAACAGATATGAGCAAGAGGAAGTAGGAGTGTGTGATGGTGTGTGTCCACGGGAGCGTGCACTTCCCATCCTTCTTCCCAGTCAAGGGGGAAGACAGAAATTCCCAGAGTATGATAGCCAAGTCCCCCTGTCCTCAAGCCCAGGCCAGTCTTCAAGGTCTGGAACATCCTGAAGAACAGCAAGGAGAAGTAAATCCTCCCCAGAAATGTCCCACACCTGGATGGCAGTCCAGTTCATCTTCTAGGAAACATGTTCTGGCTTCGGGGGAAAAGTTAAACCCGACTTGAACTCAAGCAGCCCCTCCAAAAAGTGAACCCACACCTCCCCACCTTAGCAGGACATGTCTCCATGCCTGCTCCTGTCTCTGTCCGATGTGCAGGTCCCAAGCTTGTCCACCTTGATTGTCTTGGTGATGTCTCATATGTGCTGGGCACAAAGTAGGTACCCAAGAAACACCTGATAGATAAACAAACAGAATGGCTACATGGTCTTGCTGTACTGGTTGGAAAGATTAGATGCACGGTGTAGGGAAAAAAGAGATCCCATGAGGACTCAGGGGTACCTGCAGACCATGCACCCTGGGGCTCTGCTAAAATGGCCAACTCCAGCATTGGAGAATTGAGATCAGGATCACAGCATGGCATCAGGAAAGAGGGCAACAGCTTGCAGCTACTCTCTCTCTTAGAGAGAGGCATGAGCAAGACCCCTGCCTCGAGCAGGACTCCTATCTCTTCCACATCACCCACCTTCCCCAGCCACTCAAGACACACAAGACTGCAGGCACAGCTGAGCAAGTTCTGTAGCCATGAACTCCGGGCAAGGATTGGCAACAGTATCCCCCATATCCCGAAGGCAAGGCTATGTTCCCCAATACTGAGGTTCTGATGTTCCTTTCCCTGTAACGTCCTTTTCTGTTGTCTTTGCTGAGCAGGAGATAGCTAGGGCCACTTCAGAGATCACTTTCTCCACAAAGTCTTTCATGCCCCATTCCGAGAGCCAACACTGTCTTTACCAGGTCAGTGAGAAGCTAGGCCAGAGGAACTCAGATCTGGATCTCCTGGGGATCCCCCAATCACCTCCAGGGGGGCTATGAGAAGAAAACTATTCTTACTTTAAGACTAAGACAACACTGGCCTTTCCCGCTCTCTTTCTCTACCTGCATTCAGTGTCCAGAAGGTACAAAATGGTATCACAGTGGGCAAAGGCCAAAACAGATAGAGAATCCAGATACCTTTAGTAAGCCAAACATTAACAAAAAAGAAAAACAATAATAACAACAGCAGCAACCACCAGCAGCAGCAAGAGTATAAAATCCATCCTTTTCCATTTGTTTTGTTTTGACTGTTTCAGAGAACAGACAACTCATTCAGTAAAGCGATTGCTTTACAAACACAAGGACTTCAGTCCAGTCCCAGAGCCTATGTAAGAAAGTACCAGGGCAAAGAGATGGCTCTTTAGGGGTTAAGAGCACATACTGCTCTTGCAGAAGACAGTTCTGCTCCCAGCACTCATATCATACAGCTCATAACCTCCTCTAATTCCAGTTCCAGGGGATCTGACACCCCTGGCATCAGCAAGTACACGCACACAGCTCATCACATACACAGAATTAACTAAAAACGAAATAGTAAATCTTTTTTAAAAAGTGAAGCCCAGTGGTACATGCTTATAATTCCAGTGCTGAGGAGACAGAGACAGGCAGATGTCTGGGGCTTGCTGGCCCAACAGCCTAGCCTAATAGGTGAACTATAGGCCAGAGAGAGACCCTGCCTCAAATAAACAGGTGGATAGCACTTCCTGAGGATAGACACCCAGGACTGACTTCTGCTCTCCACAAGCATGTACACACATGTACCTTCACCTACATAAATACACGCATGCAAACATACAAACAAGTAGTTACTATTCATAAAAAATATATTACTCTTGCTGGGCAGTGGTGGCAAACACCTGTGAGGCAGAGGCAGGGGGATCTCTGAGTTTGAGGCCAGCCTGGTCTACAGAATGAGTTCTCGGACAGCCAGGACTACACAAAGAAACCATGTCTTGAAAAACAAAAATAAACAAACAAATAAAAATTACTATTTATCACATATAATAGGGTTATTGTTTTTACATGAATAAAATTTTGCCAATTTACATTTTTGTTTTTGGGTTTTGTTTGTTTGTGTGAGATGCAATCGATTGTAACCTGGGCTGACCTTGAATGTTGGATTTTCTTGCCTCCACGTCAAGCGTTGCGAATACAGGTATGCACCACCACGTCCAGCTCTGTTTTATATGTTAATGGGATACACATGAATAAATGTAAACAATGTGAACAGCAGCACTCTGAGGTCTGCTGAAGTCAAGGCCCTGCACCCAACTGGTATATTGTTCTGGGTAGTGGTAAAGCTAGGTGAATTCAAATGTGTGTATCTTAAAGATATCTCCTCTCCTCTCTCTCCTCCCACCCCCATCTCCTCCCTGGGCACAACATTTCTGCTTTGCCTCAGGCTCAACACAACAAAACCAGCAAACGTGAACAGAAAACAGCCTTCAGCCAAAATCAACCTTTCCTCCAATGAAGTTGTTTTCTCTAGGTATGTTAGAATGACTATAGCTAACACAAAGTTTCCCCGGATTTAAAGCACACCCAGCCATCCTGCGGGGGGGGGGGGCCCCCACCTACTAGGCTGAAGCAAAGCTGTCTACAGCAGTGTGCGTCCAGCTCCCCCAGTGTTTACACAGGTTCTCCTGGAGCACAATTGTGACTTCTGTTTTGTTTGTTTTTGAGGCAGGGTCTTGCTACGTAGCCCTGGCTAGTCTGGAATTCATCATATCTACTAGACTGACCTCGAACTCAGAGATCTGACTCCTCTGCCTTCTTGAGTGCTGGGATTAAAAGTGTGCACCACTACACTCAAAACTATTGTTTTGCTTTGTTTAAAGTATTGTTGTTGCTGTTGCTATCGTGTGTGTGTTTAAAGTCAGAGGACTACTTTGTGGAGTTAGCTCTCCCCTTCTACCTTTATGTGGGTTCTGGGGATCCAACTTAGGCCAGACTTTCATCGAGGGCCTAGACCACTGAGCTGTCTCACAAGACTTCTCTTGTTTGTATGCGTAACTACTTCTGTGTTCCAACTACCTGTGTGTATAGGAGAAAAACTGACAACTTCAAAGACAAAGAAGTAGGGAAAGGGCAAGCCTTGGAACTCTCAGCCTCGACTTTTGCATCTGTAAAATGGTAGTGATAGAAAGTCTTGGGAAGTGACAGTAACATGAGGCAATAGTGTGAGGGTATGTGAGGCCACAAGTTCCTCAGCCTTGAGATCTTAGCAAGTAGGTATTTAGATATTAACAAAGCCGGGGCTAGACCATCAGCCTCACCCTCCCTCCTCACCTCCACCAGCTTCACTACGTTGGGGTGGTCCAGCTTCTTGAGGATGGCGATCTCCTGGTACACCTGCTCGATGGGACCCCTGGGCTGGATGCAGCCCCCTGGAGCTGGGCGAGTCCCTCGGGGTGGGGGGCGACCTGCAGGAAGCACAGAGTTAGGGCAGAGGCCTTCTGAGGAGGGGAGTTGCTAATGGGACAAAGGATTAAAAAAAGGATAAAGGATTTCTGGGAGCTGGGAGCTCCCTTTCTTCATGCTTTCCCCACTACTGGAAATCAGGGAGGCATCCCTGTTCACCAAGGCTCAGAGGAAAATGGTCTGGTTCAGCTATCTCAATGTTCTCAACATCCTGGGAAAGTGGTTGGGGGTAGCTCAGCGAGTAGAGCACTTGCCTAGCACACCCCAAGTCCTGGGATGGATCCCCAGTGCTGCATAAAACAGGATGTGGTGAGGTACCCTGAAATCTTAGCCCTTGGGAGACAGAGGCAGGAAGCCCAGAAGTTCAAGGTAACCCTTGACTACACAGAAAGGAAAGGCCAGTCTGGGTTACATGAGATACTGTCTCAAACAAAACAAACAAACAAACAAATCTTCATGTAAATAAATCACTTCTCTATGGGGCTCAGTGCCCACTGGATAAAACAGACATAAACATTATTCCTCTCCTCGATGCAGGAAATGGTACAGATGTACCAGAAAGCCAGGAGAAGAAACAAAAAACTGAGTCAATGAGAGAAAAATGAGACAACTCTGCCAGGATGGAGTGTTTCTCAGTCAGAAAGCTGTCAAATGTGAAGCCCAACTGTCGAAACCGCTGTCTCACACATCCTGTGTGAGGAAGCCTGGAGGGATGAGGAGCAGAACAAATGCAGCTGTGAGCGCGCCCGTGAGCGCGCCCGTGAGCACGCCTGAAGGAAACGCACAGACTCGGCTGCTGGAAGGGTGTGCAAGGAAGGGCGCGAGGGAAGCCTCCGCCTGTAAAGTGGCCACAGGAGGCTGAGCAGGAGGACCCCCGGCTTACCAGCGCCTGTACAGAGACCTTGTCTCAAACCAAAAGGGCCAGACCCGGGGCAGCTGGGATTACAGGTGACTGCCACACCCACCTGAGCCCAGCTTTTCTGTGGGTTCTGGGTCCGAACTCCATCTTAACACTTCCATGCCAAGCTCCTTATCCACTGGGCCATCTCCCCACCTCCCGTATTATTTTATTTGTGAGGCAAGTCTTGCTCTTCTGAAGCTTGTAATGTAGACCAGGTTAATCCTGAATTCACAGATCCACCTACTTCTGCCTGCCAAGTGCTGGGCTTAAAAAAGTGCACTACCATGTCAGGTTCAATATTTAACTGTTAAAAACATTCAATATTTTAAATGTGTGGAGTTTTGTTTGTTTGGTTAGTTGGTCTTTTTGAGAAAGGGTCTCTCTGTGTAGCCCTGGCTGTCCTACAACTTGCTCTGTAGACCAGTTGAGGCCTAGAACTCATAGAGATCCGCTTGCTTCTGCCTCCTGAGTGCTGGGATCAAAGATGCATGTGACCACCCACCACTCAGTCAGTTTCTTTCTTTTTTTTTACTTATTCTTTATCATGTGTGTGCTTTACAAAACAGGGTCCCACGGAGCTGTGGCTGGCCTTGTGTTCTGACCCTCCTCCCTCCACTTCCTGAGTGCTGGTGTTATCGGCATGTGCACCGGATTATTTTAGTATTATCACCACTAGGTAACTGCAGAACATTTTCATTGCTCTTTCCAAAAATCTGATTCTTTCTTCTGTTGATCTACTTTTTTTCCTCATGGATTTGCCTATTCTTGGTATTTTATATAAACGGTATTATATATATATATAACTATATATATTATATGAATATATATAGTTTATATAATATAAACATATATTATATGTTTGTAATAAACATATAATATATATATAATATAAACATAAATTATATAAATATATATTATATTTATATAACGAAGTAGTAAGTGACTTCTTATGTCTGGTCTTTTTCATTTAAAATGTTTTCAACCAAGTAATATCAAAAATTAGGACCCTATGATGCCTGAATTTACCGGATGCATGTACAAATTACTTACTCATCGGTTCGGGGCCCCCAAGGATGTTTCCACTCAATGGAGAACATGAACAGTGCCTCTGGCCACATGCATGCATGAGCCTTGTCTCTTTTTCTTTCTCCTGGATACTAGAGAGAAGCTGCTGGGTCCTAAGGTGTGATGACTACTACTGTTGTTAACTAGGAAATCTAGACTCACCTGAGACTGCATTAACTGAGACAGGACCCACTGTGGGTGGCACCAGTCCCTGGCTGGAATCCTGCACTATGTCAGTGGAGAAAAGGCACTGAACACTGGCGTTCATTTGTCTCTGCTTCCTGACTATGGATATAATGTAGTCAGCTGCCTCAGACGCCTGCCTCTCTGACATCCCAAACACCAGTCAAAGTAAAGGATTTCGGCCTAAAGGTGGTTTTGTCAGCCTTTTGTCAGAACACCAGGCAAAGAAACTAAGACATATGGTAAGCTTTTCATTTGTTTATTTTGTTCATATTCATGTTCAGCTATTTATTTATTATTTATTGTGGCATGAATATGCCACAGAATGAATGTGGAGGACAGAGGGCAACTGCAGGAGTCAGTTCTCTCCCACCCTACGGGCCCTGGGGATCAAACTCAGGTCACTGGGTTTGGTGGCAAGAGCGTTTACAGTTGAGCCATCTCTCCAGTCCTCAAATTCAGCTTTAAAACTCTTAAAATAAAAATGAATTAGGACCCACAGTAAGAAGTTCAGTACTGCTCTCGGGGGAAGCTCTGTGCGGGATGTGGTCTTCCCCTAGTGGCTCTGCTGGACATTACATTCACTGGCTCTGATTTCACCTCAGTTCCCACACCTTAGAACAAAGCCCGCCACACTCACGTGGAAAGCCAGCCTGCCGGATCAGCTTCTTTTTGGACAGCACTTTCATCGCCTGCAGAAGGAAAGACCCCCAAGTTCAATCAAAGACAGCAGGGAGGAAGACTCGACTCTCTTCTCTCCAAGCCTCTCACTGAGCTCCCGGGACTTGGTGCCTTAGGACAAGGCAGTGAGAACATAGTCACCAGAGGAGCAAGCTGGTACTGGAACCGTAACAGTGCCGACCCTGGAGGTTCCTGGTCAGCAGACCCAGCTGGGAACCCTGAGCTCATGACTCCTGCCACGGACAGTGTCAGACAAGTGAGCCAGAGTGATAGATGGGCAATGAAGGGCTCTGGTGGCTGCTTGTCCAAAGTCATGTTGTTAATGCATGTTGGAATCAGGGTTTGAACCTATACTGGACTGACTCCAAAGCCTCAACTACAGGGCACTATGTACATCCACTGCTATGGAAGGGGCAGACAGGGCAGCTCAAAGCAAGGGTATAAAAGACACTTGCTAGGTCAATCCCTTCCCTGCCCCATATCTCCATCTGTAAAATGGGGGCCTAAGAACAGAATGGGAGAACAAGTACCCAAACTGTGCTGGAAGCGGTGTGCTAGGAAAGAGAATTTCCTTTGGATGGAGGTACTCACATAGTACGTACTGTCATTTTCATTGTAGGCCAGCTTGACCACACCGTAGGAGCCCTGCATAAAGAGAGATGCCCGTGACATAGTAGCCAGAGTGGTGTTCTGTGCAATGAGGACTCTGACAAGCTAGACTGCAGCTCACTGGGCAACTGTACCCCGAGATTGCATTCTGTGGGACTTACCATTTTTGCAGTCTAAATTAGCTGCTAACATCATAACTAACATAAAACTAACATAACTAACATATAACTAACATAAAAACCCAGGTCTGAATAACCTGGAAAATAACCTGTCCAAACATAGAACTTACATCCATACAAAAAGAATTTACCACCCCCCCAACCCCCCACCCTCCCCACCCCGCTTTCATGTCTACCCACATCCCTCACGAAGCCACGCTCCACACTTAACAGTAAGCTTTGGTCTGCACTGCTCCCTACGGTCTTACAGTTAGCATACCTTAGCCAGTGAGGTCACTAACTTTCTTCTGTTAGCATTTGACGTTTTAGCTCCTACAATGATACTAACAAAAACAAATAAAAGGGGCTGGAGAGATGGCTCAGCAGTTAAGAGCACTGGCTGCTCTTCCAGGAGACACAGGTCAATTCCCAGCACCCACATGGCAGCTCACAACTCTCTGTAACTCCAGTTCCAGGGGACCCAACACCCGTGGCAAAACACCAATGCACATTAAAGAACAAAATAAAACAAAACAAAAAACAGATGTTAAGGTCTCTTGATGGGGAGCACCATGACAATTTAGGATTTCTCTGCAAGTTTTCTGAACTTTTGCAGAAACACATCTAATTTTAACATTATATTTAAAATAAGGAAATAAATAAGGTTAGGTGTGGTGATGCACACTTTTAATCCCAGTTCCTGGGAGGCAAAGACAGGTGGTTCTCTGTGAGTCTGAGGCCATCTTGATCTACACAATAAGTCCTAGACTAGCCAGGACTCCATAGCGAGACTATGTCTCAAAAGGGTATTTTTTAAAATAAGGCTGGTGAGATGGCTCACTAGGTAAAACATGAATTCAAACCCCTAGCACTGACATAAAAAGCCAGGTGTGGCAGCACACACCTATAATCCCAGTGTTGGGTCGGGGTGGGCAACAACAGAGGAATACCTGGGGCTTGATGGCCAGCTAGTCTGGCAGAATCTATGAGCTTCAGGTTCAGTGAGAGATCATGTCTCAAAGAATAAGGTGAAGAGGTACTGAGGAAGACATCTGACATCAACCTTTAGCCTACATACATACATACATACATACTACACACACACACACACACACACACACAATTATTATTATTGACAAACCCTTTCACTCCACCAGTCTTGCTTCCAAATTTCCCTCTCCTCTTCCCACCCAGCTCTACTTGTTCCATCTGGAGTGTCAGGGACATCCCTGGTCAAGTTACTAAGGTGGCCCAGCTCCTGGGACATTTACCTTTCCAATCTCATCCTTCAGTGTATACTGATTCAGCTGCACGCAGTCCTGCAAAGCAAGGAAGGGCACAAATGAGATGACTCTCACAGGAGCTAAAGATACATATGTCACAAATAAATGCATACATGCAATCAGGACTCAAGTTCACAGGGAGCTGCAGCAGTTGGGAGGCTGAGGCAGAGAATCCAGACTTCAAGACCAGCACTGGCTACTTAGCGAGTTTGAAGGTAACCTACACTATGACTACAAAAACCAAGAAACAACCCTGCTCTCCCACCCAAAACAAAGAGTTCGTGGAATGGGGAGATGTTCGGGTGGTGAAGGGCTTGCCTGACGAGTATGAGGACCCGAATTTGATCTGAGAAGCTACATAAAGCAGGCAGGTATGGTGCTGTACACCTGAAGTCCCAGCAGTGGGGAGGAGGAGACAGGAGGATCCCTGGGGCCTCACTGGCCAGCCAACCTAACCAACAAACTCTAGGTCCCAGTGAGAGACTATTCTATAAAAACAAGATGGCCCTCATCTGTAACTTCAGAGGAGGTTAATATCTGGTCTCCACATGTATTCACACACATGTGGACCTGTGCACACATGAACACAATACACAAATCAACATACAAAGAGTATATATATTATCAAACTCAGCACATTGTGCATGCAAGACAAACACTTCACCACTAAGTCGCACCCTCAGCTACATAGCTAAGGTCCTGTGTCAGAGAGAAAGAGAGGGGTGGGGGGAGGGAGGGGAAGGAGAAGAGGGACAAGGAAGGGAATCCAAAAATGATATATTAAAGACTGAGCAGGTTGTATTTATCTATTTAGGAATATGTATATATGTAACAACTGAAAAAAAAGAGGCCATGAGTCAGAGCGAAAGCAAGGTTGGGGGTGCAAGCGAGGGGTTAAAGAGAGGATTATTACTAAAAACTGAGCAAAAGACCAGGTGGTGGTGGCACACACTTTTAATCCCAGAACTCGAGAGGCAGAGGCAGGCAGATCTCTGTGAGTTCGAGACTAGCCTGGTCTACAAGAGCGAGTTCTAGGACAGCTAAAGCTGTGACACAGAGAATTCCTGTCTTGAAAAAAAAAAATAGAGCAAAAGATCTGAACAACAGTTTCTCTAAAGATGGATAAATGGTTAATAAACATGAAGAGTCACTGAGGAAATGCATATGAAAGCCACATCACGCCAGCTAATAAAGACAGGTGCTGAGAAGAAAGCAGAGGACACACAACTTCCCACATGGCTGCCAAACAGAAAGGGAGTCAGTAGGCAGCATCTCGTATACACCAGGCTGGTCTCAAACCTGATATTTAGATGAAGAGTGGATGGCTCAGAGCCATAGTGTGATGGTGCACACTTTTAATCCCAGAACTTGAGAGGCAGAGGCAGGCAGTCTCTGAGTTCAAGGCCAGCCTGGTATACTTTAGGGACGTTTCTCTCTACAGCGCATAACTGGTCCAAGTGCTGAGAGTAAATGACTGCTGGGCGTGAGCGCTTAGCCCTGAATGGGAAACCTGTGCTGCCTCTCTCCACCAAGGCTCTGAATGTATCTCAGGAGGGGACAGAAGACAATGTAACAGCCGGAGAGCAGGGGGGACTGCTAGGAAATGCTGTCCTTAGGATATGACATGGCCACTGTATTCATGAGCTGACTGTAGCCATGGTTACCCACACAAGATCAATCCAATAAGATCAGTCAATATTCTACAAGACAGCACTAACTGGACTTAATGGGTTACCAAAGCGGGGGGACATGAAGGGAACAGGGGATGTGTTGAGAGTGTATGAAAAGAGAGGAAGGGGATGTTGGGTGGATATTGACACACGGTTAATAAAAGCTCAGAGACTGATATTGGGGTTCAACCCGAAGACCCGAAAAGCAAAGCAGCCAGCCACTGGCTCTTATCTCGACCAGTCTGAAAATGGTGATCCTACCTCCAGAAATCTCAAAATCGGACAGTGAGAGAGCTGTCTCCTCCCACTTTATAATCCTCTCTAGGGCTCAGATTAAAAGCGTGCACCACTGATATTAAAGGCATCCACCACCCAGTTTCTATAGCAACTAGTGTGGTTACTGGGATTAAAGGTGTGCGTCCCACTGCCTGATCTGTAAGGCTGACCAGTGGGGCTGTTTTACTTTTCTGATCCTCAGACAAGCTTTATTTATTCAAATACAAATTAAATGCCACTTCAGGATATGATTAAGACAATGTTGAACCAGTCAGTGGTAGTCCACATCTTTAATCCCAGCATTCCTTGGGAGGCAGAGGCTGGCGAATCTCTGTGAGTTCGAGGCCAGTTTGGTCTATAGAGCAACTGTCAGGATAGGCTCCAAAGTCACACAGAGAAACCCTGTCTCGAAAAAACAAAAACAAAACAAAAACAAAAAGATACCACATTGAAATGCATAAAACTGTCAAAGAATAAATAAAAGATATCCTGTTAGAAATACCTGGTACAGGGCTGGAGAGGTGGTTCAGTGGTTAAGAACACTGGCTGCTCTTCCAGAGATCTCGGGCTCAATTTCCAGCACCCACAGCTGTCTGAAACACCCTCGCACAGACACACACGCATGCAAAAACTAATGCACATAAAAGTAAATTTAAAAAGAAAGAGAGAGGGCTAGAGAGATGGCTCAGAGGTTAAGAGCACTGCCTGCTCTTCCAAAGGTCCTGAGTTCAATTCCCAGCAACCACATGGTGGCTCACAACCATCTGTAATGAGATCTGGTGCCCTCTTCTGGCCTGCAAGTATACATGCAAGCAGAACACTGTATATGTAATAAATCTTTAAAAAAAAGAAAAAAGAAAAAGAAAAAAAAGAAAGAGAGAGAGAAAGAGCGAGCACCCGACTGATACTTGGCTGGAATGCCCTTGAAGCGCACTCTTGCCTTCATCTGCCTATATCACCACGAAGAGCTAGAGGTGGAACTCTGGGCTTGGCACATGCTAAGTGAGTACTCGACCAGGTAAGCCACAGCCTACCAGTTGTTTTCTTCTTTTTTTAAAAAAAGATTTATTTATGTATTATTCATAAAGTGTTCTGCCTGCATGTATGCCTATAGGTCAAAAGAGGGCACCAGATCTCACTATAGATGGCTGTGAGCTGGGAATTGATCTCACTATAGA